TTTCTTTCTTTCTTTCTGTCTTTCTTTCTTTCTTTTCGAAACTAATCTTGTCTGTTCCTGGATCAAAGTTTCTATATAATTCTGTTGGCATATTCACACATTTTTTTTAAACAATATAGGCCATATTGCAAGGTCCATAGGAATAATGTTAGTTTGATGAAGGTCAAATTGACGTGTCAAAAAATCCACATAAATGTTCAATTCTGCACCTAGCCATATATACAGGAGTTCTGTTTAGAATGAAGACACAATGATTTCCAAATGTGGCTGACAACCATAGAAACATATCCTTCTTCAACATTTGCTAGTAATCTCTGCCATTCACTTTCACTTCTCCTTCAATGAAGATCAAGGGTGATTTTGGACCATCAGAAACCTGAAATTGGATTTAGTGAGGTTGTTTGCTCCTCTTGAAACTTTTTCTACATTAATAACAGATTTTCTGCATACCTTCAATTATTTTATCACCTCACAATTCTTTATGGCAGCCATTTCCAATGCAGCGATTTCATCAGATTTTTATTTAGTTAAAAAATAAACAATCAAACAAAAGAATTATAGAAAGCCTTATGGAAAATTAGACATCATTTTTATGAATAAGTATGCTGTATGTTTCAATAACAGGAAAATTTTTATGCCTTTTTCTCTCTCTTTATATATATATATATATATATACACACACACACACTATCATATTACAACATGTACATACCTACTATAAAACTGTACATCTATGGTGGTACCGCCATAGTTTCCCACCTGAAGAAATGCTTTTTAATGTTGAAACAAGATGTACAGTTTTGTAGTGGGTATGTACATGTTCTAATGTAATAGTATATATATATATATATATATATATATATATATATATATATATATATATAATATTTGTACCACAGAATTATTATGACTTTGTAAATGACTGAATGCATTCTTTTAAAAGGACCTTTCTTCTTTTTTTTTTTTTTTTTTTTTTTTTTCGAAAAAATAAAACATTGAAACTGAAAAAGGTAAACATGGGTTAAATAAGGAGTCACAACTAAAATAAATTTATTATTAAAAGTAAACAAATCAGTGTAAATAAGTTCCTAGTGAGTATAAAACCTAAAAAAAAATGACTCCCAACCCACCCATGAAACACAGAGAACAAACAAAGCTCTTCTACTTGCACAGTCGGTCAATGAAGCTTGATGTAAACAGCTTCTATAAACAGTAAATTTTCAAGTTATTTATCCCCCCCCCACCGTGTTTACCTTTTTCAGTTTTACCGTTATGATTATTGTTGTTCCAATGAATGCTTCTGAAGAAGTCTTGGACGAAATGAATTTTCAAAGCCATTTTTACACACACACACACACACACTTTAAAAATCGGATCAGTTGAATCTGCTATCTTGGTTTCAACCTTACGGTATGCTCAGGTGATTTTTATAAAATATATAGTGACAGCTTGTTTCTGAGTACGTATGTCTGCTTAGGTGGATAGCTAATCCCTGTTCAGGCAAATTTGTGTTTCAGAGCCAACCTCTTATTTATACTGTGACTACACTTATCAGATCTTAGTTACAGCATCCAGGGTAAGATGATAAACAACATCCAACACCAAGGCCTCTTGGACGTTATGAGGAGCATGGAACTACCTCTTAATTGCTGGTGTTCCCAGGTCCACCCTGACTCAGCGTGGTAGCACCTGTTCGGGTTCCAGCTATAGGCAAATAGTTCCCCCCAGAAACTGAGGTAAAAAACATTATGAAAGTGTAAAAATAGGTCTTAATACCAGTGTGACACCCACTGGTGGTCACAGCGCCAATATGTGACGTCCTCTGGTCACGACGCCAATATGTGACACTGCGCTGTTGGCCCATGGTCAACTCCCAGTTGTGGTGCGAAGCTGTAAGGTTTGTTCCACCAGCATTTGGGGTTGACTCCTTGTCGCTGCCACCAGCCTGTGTCCTGGTTGATCTGGTCATTCCCGGTTCGATACCAGCTTTGTCGTTCCCAGCTCACTTCCGACGTCTGGTTACCGAAGTAACTACTTTGATCTCAAGTCTATCCTACCCACGTTGTGACTTTGATCTTAGGTAGACAAAATCAATGCCATAGTACAAGCTGAATCTGGGGTGAAGGTGATATCATACAAGCGTAAGTGAAAGAAGCAATAAAACAAAACTCAAGACATTCAAATATGTTGAGAAATAACAAATTATCTTTATCCGTCTGTTATATACAGGATTGTGTTTCTCTCCCAGCCTGTTTTTATGGATTTGTGACACTTTTGTGTTTCTTAAGCGAGTTTTGGTATCTTAAGTCGTTTGTCAATATAACTTGCTTTTGGTAGGAAGTCGAAGTTAGAAGGACGTGGAATTTCTCGGTCAGCTTCTGCGAGGCAACACTCTCTGTCCAGAACTGAACTCCGACTCCAACTGCAAATCAACTGCCAAACTCCCCAGGGACGTTCGTTTATATGGACACCGACCAAAATCCGGTGTGGGGCCTGACGTGGTTTGGGTTCCTCAATAAGTCTCGATTCCCAACAAGAATTCTCTTTGTTCTTAGGCCAGGAAAATTAATTACTTCCAATTTTTGGAAGATTAATCACTTTCCACTTCGGGGTTTTCTCCCTCATCCATGAGGGAAGGTCAAAGAGTTATCCTCCTAGACTCTTCCTCTCTCACATTGGTATCTCATACCAATCCCTTCAGTGGGTGTTAACAATTTATTCGCCTTTCTCATACATTCACCTCCGCCTATCACCCATGCTACCACTTGACCAATGATCTCTCAGCAGTGTGGGCATGGCTAGACTGGCCCTCTTAAAATTATTATCCAGAATTTTGTTTACAAAATCCATTTTTCTTTTTTCCTTCGGCCAAAACATTTTTTTCACAAACCCCAAATTGCCAAATAATTCTTATCACATCTTTCTTTTGGGGACACCCAAAATTCACTTAGTCAGGTCTCCTTACCGACTCATCAATCACTGTCAAAACCCGATATCTGGCTTCTCTGCTAAGTCAACTTTTAACTGGGAGGTCCGTGTTTACCTGAGAATCAAATTCTTTATTTTTCTCATGCCTTAAAATCCTCTTATCACCAGATGCCCATTTTCGACGATGCTGTGTCTGACATCAACAGTTTGAAAAAGTAATAATATGATTTTCTTACTCGTGCCAGAATTCTAGCACATAACAGATGGTTTCCCTTTTTTGGTCTCAGGAATCAAAATTAAATGATATCTCTGAAAGATAAATAATATCGATTCTCTCTGCCTGTATCACAGTCATCCAAAAAAATTTTTATGGCCGCCATGTGTCGGCCGGCTTTGTTTTTCTTTCTGAATTCTGTTTCCCTTGGCGTGTCATTCCCTTACCATGACATTAATCAGTTTTGACAGAATCTCATATCTCGCTTTTTCTTACAGATTTTCTGTCTCATGCGAAAAGTATCTTTCTTCATAAAATAAAATGAAATCTTCTTTTTAACATTGCTCAGTCTATCTTACGATATAGCTTTTTCTCACCTTAAGTCTTTCCTGTTTTTAATTCCTATGGTTAATTAGCCAATTGCCATAGCTAAATAGTGTCACACCAGAAATACTTTGTAAAAAAAAAAAAAAAAAAAAAAAAAATTATTACCAGCAATATATTTTTGAAAAAAAAAAAAAAAATATTACTAGCAATGTATTTGAAAAAAAAAAAAAAAAATATATATATATTACCAGAAAAGGATTTTTGACAAATCAAAATATTACCAGGAAAAAAGAAGTTGTTGGCATTAAATAACCCATTGAGGTTGATATGCCGTAAAACAAAACAAACCTACCAAAAATCTTAGTTACAATTTCTGGGAGTGAGAAAGTGTATAATCTGTTTTGAATATGAGCAGTGTGCTCACAAAGACTTGTAAAATTGGACTAGTGCAACCTTCAATGTTTGCTGAACAGTTTCATCTATCCAATTTCACTCACAAGGTTTGGGGGAACCGGCCAGTGGTATGGTTTTCATGCTAGAATCATCTCCCGCCATGAAGTGGCAAATCAACCATAGTAAGATTCAAACCTGAGCCTCATGGTCAGAACAAGAAATTTCTAACCACTCAATCACATACATACACACCCACACCTTACTCTTTCCCCACCAGAGACACCAGGTTCAAATTCCAGTTGGGTTTTGGTAGATTCACTTATGCACAAATACTCTTGGGAGAAAAGTATGAATCCATTATGTCCCAGGTATAGGTTAAAGAACACAATTTGTCTGGAAAAATTATCTCCAAAAGAAAAAATTGTTAATGGAATATTCACTCACAAAAAACAGGATTATTCTTATAATACAACATATATTTCAGCTTCAACCCATAAAGTTCCTTAGGATATCTGCTAACAAAAGTGATGGAAAGAAAAAGAATCTAAATGAAATCTGCTAGATAAAAAAAAAATTACATTTCTCGGTATCCCTCATTTGTGGGTGGGTGTAGTCATACCAACATAAAAAAATCTAGTCCAATAAAGTCCTAAAGGATGAAATGTGTCACAAGAAAATTTTTTCCACCTTGTCAGACACTTTTCCTCAATATTTATTTAAACAATAATGTTAACATAAGAGATATAGATATATATAAAATATCTTACAGATTATATGCTATATTTGTAAGGCTGACTTAAAATTGCATGCAGTCATTTCAATATTGTTAAAATATAAGTTTTATTTTCCATTTTCTAATTATAGAACAGTTTTCGTGAAATGACAACCATGTATTGTACCCATTTTAGTCTAAATTAGTAAAAATAAATCTAAGTGGCATTCAAAGTTGATGACCAAAATAAATTGGGAATTTATTCATTAAAATAGCCAAGTCTCCCTCTAAATTTTTTTTTTTTTTTTTTTTTTGCTCTTTTTATTAAGATCATAATAATGCTTCTTTGTTTTTTGGTTTTTTTTCTTTTTTATAAACCTGTTAATAACTGTCAAGAAATAAATTCTGCTTGTTCTTTGTAGGCCAATGTTGTTGATTGGAGGTTCTTGTGAACAGCAGCAAGAAGGCATGGAAGCCTTTCAGGAATATCATCAGGTGAGACATCTAACTCCCCCCCCCCGACCTCATTTAAATATTTTGATTCTAAGTTTCAGCACCTCATAGTTTTTCTTTAAAATTGTTTTATTTTTTTTTTTTATTGTTCAGATGGTTCTTTCTGGCTATTTTGAAACTGAATTTCATTTTTAATCTGCTACAGTTGAACTTTTTACTGCCATCAACAAACTCCCTGATGAAAGATAAAATCTGGAATTTTGAAATGATCACATCAATATTTAGTTTTTAACTTGTGGTCAGTTCTCTGATGCACATGTTTATCCACTTTGTGAATTTTACAGAAAGTTTTTACCAGTGTTTTCTATTATTTTTCTAAATAATAATAAAACCTACTCAATATTATTTTCATCATGATTTATAGAGCCGTTATATATATTGTTTAAAATTTGCTATATTTATCGAGAAAGAGTGTGCAATATTGTGCATAGAATATTTGAAGATATAAATGAAAACATCAACACTTCATGGTGACTGTCTATTTTATGTCTTCATTGGACCATCACCATAGATACATTTATGTATGTAACAACACCATAGAGGAAACATGGCCAGTACAGAATGTGCTTTAGTGACTTTGGGATACAAAAGGCTATTATCTCCCTTTGGTGGGGATGAAGTCATATGATGGCTGTTTAGTGACGAAAGTGGTTGTTCAGTCTGCTTCCAGGAGTCAAACCAAGCATTTTTTTTTAAATTTTTTCTTTGTCTGGGCCCCTCAGCTCAGGCTGAGGCTAAATATCTGCCTCTTTTGGCTGCTACATGGTGCAGCTTACAAGCTTGTGGCACCATTTTCCTATGAAAATATACAAAATATCTCCAGCTAGCAGTCCTCATGTTGGGAAAAACCCAGGACTTGTCTTTTCCCCTTTGCAGAATATGATCTTGCTAGTAACATAGCAGATGAATCTGTAATCCTAAATATGGCTTCTCAAGAAATGCAGAATCTCTAGCTGCTCCAGTCCCCATTGAGAATTATTGTATGTAAGACACTTTGTTTTTGTTCCCCCCCCCCCATGCTTGTTGTTGCATATATGTTATATTTTCTCTGAATTGGATACATGTAAATATGTATATATAATTTTGTGTGTGAAACTCTCTCCAAAAACAAAGCATGTTCATCATTCCTTTTCCTTTCAGCCATTCTGTTCCGTCTGTGAAATAAGATATTATTATATCATGGATACATTAATGCCAATAATGGAGGGAGATGAAAGTGGGAGAATAAGCCTTTCTATAGCTCGCCCATTATCTGGGTCCAACCCAAAGTGACATGATATTATTTATCTTCATTACTGTCAATCCTTACAGTTTAGTAAATTTAAATTTATTTATCGAAAGAAAGTGTCTTCTTTTTATAGCAGTTTCTAATGGAAACTCTAAAAATATGGGTGTGTTATGTAAGAGTTTAAATATCAAACATAGTTATTAACATGGTATGGTAATGCACCCCCCCATTTACTATAAAAACTGAAAAATGTGGTCAAATCAGGGCAAGTTGTAATGTCATTTCTTCCAGTATCTTGTGCGATGAAAGCAATTTCATACCTTATGCCAACAGTTGCTCTCTAAATCATTCTCGCTGAGGAAAAGAATTTACATTCATCTGACATGTGTGAGTTCTTTTAATTTTTGACAAAACTAACAAAATATGTAACAAACCTGAACAACTCTTTGAAGAAACCGAACTTTCTATTGATACAAGTAACCGACTTTATTCATTATTTTGTCCTCGTCATGATTTCTGTCAATAGTTTCTCAATGAAATTAATAACCTGCAATTTATTCTTTTCTCCCAAAGGTTGAACATGCCAGGCCATTTTGTAAATACAGTGCAAGGCCAAGTAGCATCCAGCGTATTCCTGTTTTTGTAGAAATAGTGAGTTTTTCCTTTTTACATTTTTATTATATCAATCTTTACCTTGTCATATTCCGTTTATTGCTTTCCTGTCCTTCCTTACATGGAATATTCACTGGTTGCTTTGCTTTTTTTTTTGCTTTTTTTTTTTCCTTTTGTTTTTTTATTACAGAAAAAAAGATGTACAAGGGTGGATCAATAACTTCATAGCTTGACAAATAGTTATTAGCTGAATATTTATCTGCAAATTTCACTTTATAAAATTTAGTCTATGTGAATTAAGTGCATTGGCAAAGAAGAGAGTTGAAAAAACTGTGAGTGTAGTGAAAAAAAATGTTTCAGTCTGTTATGGGATTCTTCTTTTTTTTTTTTTTTCTTGGTTTCCTTTTTGGTTTCCTCTCAGATTCTTTTTTTTTCTCTTCATTTTGTTTTCTCCTTTTTTCCATTTCGTTTTCTTTTGGTTTTGTTGTTTTCTTCTCTCTTTTTCTTTTTTTGGTTTTTGTTTTGCTGGTTTTGCTTTCTCTTTTTTATTTTGTCTTTTATCCAGTTGTTGCATTTTTTTATTTTTTTGTTTGTTCCTTTTGTTTGGTTTTGTTTTCTCTTAGTTTTTTCTCTTTTTTTTGTCTTTTCGTTTTTTATTGGTTTTTTTTTTTTTTTTTTTTTTTGGTTTTGTCTTTTCGTTTTTTTTGCTTTTGTCTTTTCAGTTTTTTCAGTTTTTTTTTGCTTTTGTCTTTTCGATTTTTTTTTTTTGCCTTTGTCTTTTCGATTTTTTTTTTTTTTTTTTTTTTTTTTTCTGGCTTTTGTCTTTTCGATTTTTTTCAGTTCTTTTTAGCTTTTCGTTTTTTTTTTTTTTTTTGTCTTTTTTTTTTTTTTTTTTTTTTTTTTTTTTTTTTACGTCGTTTTTTTGTTTTTTTTTTTTTTTTTTTTCATCTTTTTTGCTTTACTTCATTTTTTTTTTCTCTTTTCTGGTGGGGAGGTTTTTTTTATTTTCCATTTAGTTTTTCTCTTATTTGTATTTCTTTATTCTCTTTTTTTCCTTTTTTTTTTTTTCTATATTTTGTGTGTTCTTTTGGTCTTTTTGCTGTCTCTTGTTTTGTTTTTTTGTTTTTTTTTTCTCCTTTTTTTCCAGCTTTATATTCTCACTTTTTTCATTTACATTTTGTTTTCTTTTTTTGTTTTGTTTCCTCCTTGTTTTCTCCTTTGTTTTTGTTGTCTCCTTTTGGGTGTGGTTGGGGAGGTGTTTTCTCCTTTTTCTTGTTTTGTTTTTTGTCTTGTGTGTCTTCCATTTTTTTGTTCTCTCTTTTTTTTGATTTTATTTCTTTTTGTTTTCTACTTTTTTGGGGTGGTGGTGGGTTTTTTTTTCTTTTTTTTTTTTTCTTTTTTTTTTTTTGTTAAGTGATCCATGATGGATTTCAAGGGATTCATGAGGACCAGACAAAAACATTTATATTCACTAAACAGCTTTTGTCCAATCAAAAGAAATAAAAGAAAATACATCCTGTCACTGTTTGAAAGTAAACGCTCTCAGTCACTAATTACAGTGCCGACCACTAGGCATCTCTTGACTTGGTGTTGGGTCCATGTTTATCATTTAAACATGTGTTATCATTCTCTGCATGACCACCATCTTTTATCACGCCATACGAGCAAATGATAATTCTCATTTTCCACAGTTCACCATGGCTTGATTATCTCCACATATAATGGTGAGGATTAATTGACCACAATTTCTTTCAAGCGTGACTGGCTGAAAAGTGATGTGTGTACATGAGGGTGCAGTATGGAGAAATGAATGTACAAGTGTTGTAAAATTCTTGCACACCCAGGAACCCATTGTGTCTCAGTGGCTTTACTGCCTTTCTTGGAGTGAACGCTATTTATATATATATATATATATATATACACACACACACACACACACACTCCATTAATAAAACCCTTGTTAACCTGAAGTCCTTTCAAAGGAAGAAATACAAAATGTAGGAGTCATTTTTTTATTTTATTTTGTCATTCAGTTATCTATGATTGATCTGACTTCTGAAGTTGTATATTTCTGTGTGTCTCTCGCATATATATATATATATATATATATAAAGAGCTGTAAAATTTTAAACCATAAAATTCTGATGTTTAATCAGATTTGGAGCAGTACCAAGAACTTTTGAACACTTTCTCATGTAATGTGTGTATTTTATAAAATTGTTATTTTTTGAGTAGAATTTATACCAGTAAACTTATCACTTACTTCTGAAAGTAATCAAGATAAGTTGACATTCATTATTGTTTAACATAGATATTTTATTCTATATAAACTTTTATATGACTTCAAATTCATAAAATAGGATGAAGTGCTCAGACCCTTCTCCATCTTGATTTTTTTTTTTTTTTTTTTTTTTCTTTTTTTTTTTCTTTTTCATTTTCTTTTTCATTTTCTTTTTCATTTTTTCATTCTCTCTCTTCTGTGATCATTATGGCACAAATTTCACAATGATCTCCATAAAATAGCAATGTTATCAACATGATAAACACACATATTTGTTTTTGTCATAGGCTGTTCGAATGTCCATTTATGGTCGTCCTGGAGTCAGCTACTTGGATTTTCCTGCCAACATGCTCAACTCAAGTGTCTCTGATGACTCCATTAAGTAATATGTCTATTTTTTTTTCTAATTTTAAAAGTTAATTTATTCTTATTTACACATGAAACAAAAAAACAAACAGTGCCTTGGAAAAGATTTAGATAAAAACACAGCAATATCTAAGTAACATCTTCTTTTTGCCTGTTAGTGTTTTTCATGTTTATTCAATTACACAAAAGCAATCATTTCTTTGTATATATTAATGCTAACATAATACCCATAAAAAATGATAGAACTTTTTTTTTATACATTTTCAGAATAGTATCTCAGCATTAAAAATACACACACACAATGCTATGATAATTTTATGTATATATGTATATGAACTTTTATATATGTATATGAACTTTTTTTATTTTATGATAATTTTATGTATATATGTATATGAACTTGATTATTTCATTGAGACTGTTACTTTAATGTATAAACATGTTATCATTTTTTTAAATATCTTTTTTCTGTACAAAAAACCACAAAACAATATCAATATTCCAAGTTCAATATATACAACAACTATGCAAATGTTTTATACCAAAGACATTTTCTGACTTATCTGATTTATTTAAACTGTTGTTGTCATCTTGATTAGTATAAATAATATCAACACATGTTAAAACATTTGTTTTCCAACCATAAGACCTGGGCTCAAATCTCATTATGGTTGATTTATCAGGAAGGTGACTTCTTGATTTTTATCGGCCTGGGTAGGCAATCCCAGTGTGTAGCATCTTTGGAAAGTACCTGAAAACCACACCTTGTGAGTGAATTTGGGTAGACAGAGCTATTTGGAAGATGTTGATAGTTGTGCTAGTATGAAGTTGCAAGATATTATGACTGATGGTTTGAGCATAATGTTCAGATTGTTGATCATGCCAGATAATGCACTCTTTCCTAGAAACTGTAACTAAGACCTGTATAGTTACATCATAAACCACAGATGGGTTCTGTAGTTATTGAACAAACACAAATATGCCTGAGCTGATTACTACAACAGGGATTGACTAGCCATCCCAGTAGACAAGCATACACGGACATGAGCAACCAGCCACCACCATTCAACACAAGATAATCCCATATTGGCCAAAATAATGGACATCTGGATGACCAGATGGTATTTGGTTGAAATGTTGTTTCTATAACATCATCTACAATAATCAAGATGAGAACAATAAATTCAATAAATACATTAACAATTTCTCATCTTAAAAATAAAATTAATTGGCATTTTCTGAGGCCTTGAATGTCTTCCTCCTCCTGGAACTCCTGGGAACTGAAATTGTGTATGCAATTAAGAATTTCACTTGTGTGTTGCCTAAAAGATTTGGACATCTTTTACAGATATTGAAGCTTGACTTATACAGAAACTTGCTGAAAAAAGAGCATACCATGATGAAAAAGCACCCCAAACTTAATAAAAACAATGTTTTCTCATCAAAATGTTTGTTATTGTTAAGAGGAAAGACCAAAGTATTTTTTAATTATTTTTTAAAATTTTTTACTCCTTTCTAAAAGGTTTTTGTGCCAATGGTGTAACAAAACTGGTTATGGAATTTTTAGCACCAGTTTTTTTTCCAGTAAAATAACACATCAATTTGGGAATTCTTGCAAAACTCAAATAATTGTCAGAATTTAATGAAACTTTCAGGACTTTCACAAATGAATAAATGTATTTTTGAAATTATTATTTTTAGAAAATCTTGGTAAAAAATATATATTTATTTTTACATCTATTAACCCCCACTTAAGTTCATGAAATTTCTAGAAATTAAATTCCATCTTCCAAATTTGTTTTATTAGTTAAATGCAGCACTCCTTGGAGAATATAAATCATCCTAAACAGTTATCCAGTTCTTGAAAATCTGCTCTGAATTGTAAAATAAAAACTGCAATAACATTATCTAATTATTTAATTACATAAGCTTTTAATTACTTTTATAAATATATATTAAGGACTTTATAGTCTGAAGAAAATCTTTTTTTCAATGAATAATGGATTTTTACAAGAGTTGTTTACATTTTCTTTTTAATTATAATAATTTATAAAATTTCAAAACTCTTAAAACAATTTTTCCAAACTCCGTCCTCATTAGGTTATTAAGTGAAAACTATATTTACTAAGCAAAAATTGAAAAGCTTAATACAAATCATCCAGCCTTAAGATTTTTAAAATAATTTAAGATCTTTTTTTATGTGTATAAACGTGCCCATCTTGAACGTATGGGTGACCACACATGACATTATCAGAAAATAAGATCAACCATAATACTAAATTTAAAGTCGACATTTCTAAAATTAGATTACGGAGAATATACCAACATTTTTAAGATTACTGTGTACTTAAAAATTTTGTATAAATGCATTCAGCCATCATTTTCTTAAATTCTGTTTTAACAGATAAAGTCTCTGTAGAACAACAATAAACATGTCAAGTAATTTATGAGATGTTGATAAGCACTTAATCGCCACTACTGCTTGTTTTCAAAATCCATTTCTACATTACTTTAAACTTAAGGTAAACAATATTTTTTTTCAAGTCAGATTAATTATACTTTAAATCTGCTAATATTTCTCAAATAAAGTTTCAGAAAAATGTATTTTATTTTTGAAAGATTTTTTAATAAATAAAATTTCAATGTGATGATAATGACTAAAAAAGGGCTTGACATGATTAATGGATTCTTGGATAAAATGATGGCCAAGTTGACCTCTTGAATTGTTTATATTGCATACTATTCTGCCAATTCCATGTGGAATTATAGGAAGGGTCAAATCTTGAGTATTGAGTCAGTATGAGGGATAGTTAGTTTTCAGACAATGGGAGAATCTTGGGATCTTGAGATTAATTACTAGAAAGCAATCATAGATAAATGTCAAAATGAAGGCAAATTGTTTAAAATACATGTATGGGATAAGAAAATTTTATCAACCTGGCCACTATAAAAGAAGACATGTTGTTAGCAGACTATAAATGAATGACAACACATACACAATTATTACACTGCAGCATTGTATGTGCAACTCTGGTGACAACTTTCACAACACTCTCCACTAATTCATGATACAATAGTCTCTGCAGTCAAGAAAGATCACTGGACCAAGGAATGACCTTCAAGGCCGACTGACACTCACTGAGGAAACTTGACAATACTCCATGACCATGATGGCACTTACTCCAAGAAATGGGAGGAGTTATAGGAAGGCGTCCCTAACACACTGTTCCAAAATCAAGTCCTCCATCAAAACACAGTGTAGGAAAGCTACACCTTGCCAGGTGTAGTAATCCCAACCGCCCATGACATGAATGCTGGTAACATGCTTCTTTACAGACTCAATATGTGTGACCACCCCACAAAAAAGGCAATTAGCAAATGCTTGGTCACCTCCATGCAGGTGCAGCAAAGAGGAAGTACCTCAAAGCAGTAAAAAATGAGGGGCAAGATGTAAGTGGCACACACCTCAGTCCTAACCTTTAAGAACAACCTCCTTCAAAGCTAAATTCAGACTGCCCCTCCAACTTTTGCCTGTACTGACTAATTCTCCTTCAGCTGAAGTCCAGGCCCAAACTACACTCCAACAATGCAGACAGGTTGATCAGTCCAACAAAAAGGCCCTAGAAATGTGACCTCCTCCCAGGCACCTAACCACAAACCAGAAGACTTGTTACGGTTAATCTTGGCCCCTGTCACCTTGTACCATTCAAGCACCTTCTGTACCACCTTAATGTCACAACGGCATGACACGAAAATGTATACATCATCAGCATATTCAGAAACTCTAGCTTGAGCTATACCAGGGAAAACAGTGGCTGGACTGCATGCCCTGTTCTTCATCCGACAAAGGAAGGGCTCCTACACCAAAGCATAAAGTAAGGGCAACAGCAGACCACCCTGTCAGACCGACCGAGACAGTGCAAAAGCACTTGACCACTTCCTGTTCACCTGTACCACAGCACTGGGAGAGCAATACAGAAGTTGTGTTCGAATATGGCAGCCTGCAGGACAGCAGCCAGGTACTCATGGTCAGCTCTATCAAATACCTTAGACTGATCCAAATTGATCAATACAGCTCACTTGTCATCTTTGACACCCTCTATGATCATGCAAATCAAATGCAGGTTGCTTTGAATTGTTCATCCCCTCGCAGCACAAGTCTGCTCAGGTCCCAACAAGCTCGCGACAACGGACTGCAACCTCTCCATCAGGATCTTGGCCAAAATCTTTAACTTTGTGTTAGTTATGGGCCTTTAATCATCTAAATCCTGCCCAACACCCTTGCATTTTTTCAATAGCATGATCACACCCCTGGAAATCTGGTCGGGGATGGACCCCTGCCGGAACCAGTTGTTGAACACCACTGTCAAAATCAGAACAAAGATGTGCAACAGCCTCAAATACATTTCATAGGGCAGACCATCAAGTCCACCTCTACCAACCTTCTTTAATGCCAAGTAAACTTTGTCCCCTTTGATCTTACTCACGCAGCTAGCTGCTTCAGTCAGCGAAAGCCAAGGAAAGTGTTGTGGAGTGATTTCACAGTGGAGGCTTGTATTTGTACTAAGTTGGTCCTAAAATAGGTTTGACGTACAAAACATTAGGAACTTGATATAATAGGTATAACACAGAGTAATCTAGTTGTGGTCGCTGATACTTTAGTATTCGACTAACTGTCGTCCGACATCGACTGACTCAACAACTGACTGCCTGACCCCTCTCGCTACTCCTACTTGTTATAGGTGGGAGAGTCTATTAACTATAGGTGTGTTCCACTATAACAGAAAGTCAGCCAAATAGCTTCAAAGAAAGAAAAATTAAATGTTCAAAATTCAAATATCAAAAAAAAAAAAAAATGGACTTTCCTCTTTTTTTTTTTTTTTTTTTTTTTTTTCCCCTATATGTGAACAAAACTATAAATCAAAATGCAAAAGAAAAAGAAAAAATACGGAAGTCTGGTTTGAACCTAATAAACCAGTTAAAATAAAAAATGTTTGTGGCCAAAGCTGCCAGCAAAAAAAATAAAACTGACAAGAAAATTTAAAAAATAAATCAAATAGGAATTAATAAAGAATTAAGAAATAAATAAATCAACTTATAACAAAACCTAAGACTTAAAAGAATTAGGTGTAAAAGTGAAAATAAATTGGCAGAGGATATAAACTGAAAAGAAATTCAAAAACTTCTTTTTTTTCTTTTTTTCTCTCCTTAAACTTTGCTTATTTTTTCACAATGATGAAAATAATAAAAAGAAAACATTAACTATAAATGAAAAAAAAAAATAATAAATAAAAAAGAAAAACAGTAGTCCAGTAAAACTGTTAAACCGGACTAAAAATAAAGTTGTCAACCAAAGCCAACGAAATAAAAAGTCTGACAAGAAAGGAAAACAAGAAACAAAAATCAAAATGAAGAAATGAAAAAATGAAAGAAAGAAAAATAAATTAAAGAGACTTAACTTAAAGAGACTTGTAGGATGAAGAAAGTTCATAATTCAAGTGCAAAATCAGTCAAAAGTAGGTCACTCCCAGCCAAAAATGAATCTTGGCAAGAGAGAGACTAGAAATGCAGATGTCATGTGACTACCTACTTATGCATTTCCTCTATGGTCATGTGATCTACTTAATTCAATAATGGGATCACCTGTGTTTTCTCACTGGCGATCTGTGTTCAAACTCAAGTGTAACAAACATTAATCAAGCTTTGGGACTTTATTGATTTCACACTGGAATTGAAGACATTCCATTCCAATCAAAGAAAGAGGTCAGAGGACCTCCTATATCACAATACAAGACCATGGACACCCAATGTATTGGACAATCTGACAATATGTTAGCTGTTGATACTGTAAATTATTGCCATGTTAGTGAGACTGACAATACACAGACTGCATCTCTCCTACAGAGCGTTAACATGCCCCTTAAAAGAGACTACCTACAAAGTAAATGCTTACAGACTCCAGTATATAAACACCTGCTGTTTACCTGCAGGCTCGAGTACAAGCACTCTCTGTGCCCACCTGCAGGCTCGAGTACAAGCGCTCTCTGTGCCTGCCTGCAGGCTTGAGTAGAAACACCCAATAAAGTCCACCAACACAATATCATAATAAAAAATATAGTTTTAATCTATACTATATTTATGGGCAAAAGTGTTCAATAGGAGATATCTTTTTGTCAAAATATCTAATGGTGATAGTGCAGAGAGAATTAATTCCATGGGTTTTAGTATGCTGTAAACTTAAGTATACATATCTGAACTATATCAGTACAATTCATAAGTAATTTCTATATATGGGAGCCACTTGTAATGATGAATTTATCATCCCAACTACTGCTCATAGATGGCAGTTAAGAATAAATCTGGAGCACACTGACTGTACCATAGTTTTTGCATGGCAGTAGCAGCATACACAATGGATTAAAGAAGAAATGGTGTTCTCTCCTCTAAGACAATGTAAAGCTGCATACAGTAATTTTTTTTACACTATAAAATTTTTTTCAATGTTCTATTCCAACTGCCATGTTATCTGATTTTTGTCATAGACAATAACCTTTGCTGATCTCTGAAGAATTCTTTGATGGAAAAAAACTTTAGTGAAAACCAGATTGAAGAGTTCACCAAAACTTTTCATATCAAAACTTGCAAAATTTTACTCAAAAGTGACAATAAATAATTGCAAATAATGGTGAATATAGAATTAAATAAAATGTCATTTTACTTGATTTTTTTTTTTTTTAAGAATAAAGTTGATAAATAAAAATTGGAATTATTTATGACTCAAACTAATACATAATGTGTTACTGATATAAGAAATCATAGGTGCATAAGAGCTGTTGACAGATCTATCACTATTTCAATTAAACCAGAAGCCATTAGCATATAGAAATCTCAATATTGAACAATAGTAGAACTTTACTAAATACAACTTTGCCAAAAGACTATCTTCTTCGATTCATTGAATTGCGTTCTCCTTGTATCCTCTACCACAGCTGGCTTAATGTCATTTCTTTTTCTCTTGTTAGTTGGAAATCTCCATGTCCAGATCCTCCACTCATATGTGCATTAACTGAGGACATCAGGAAAGCTCTTGACCTACTGACTACTGCAGAGAAACCATTGGTCATTATTGGCAAAGGTAGGTCATAAGTTAGATGGAAAATGATTTAGCTTTATTTTTTTTTTTTTTTTTTTTTTCAAAGCTAGTAACTTTTTTTTCATCTTAAAAAGACTATGCAAATTTTCAGGGCTTGTCATAATTTGCTCTACAGTGTAAAATTTTCATCTTTATTGTCATTCTCCCTGTTAATGTCTAAGCATTTCCTTCCTACAATGTTTTTGACACTCTAACTAAAGTGGAAAACACACAAAGAGTACATACCTCCACTAATACTATTGACACTAAAAAGTGAACAATCGGGTTACAGGTCCCAGACTATGCTGTGACAAATGGTTGTAATAACAAGGGAGATAATCATATTTGTTGTTGCTTTTTATTATTTTTGTACTTTTTAATTTTTTTTACCCCTCCTCATGTATTAAGTCATATAGATGTGTAGGTGGTGTAAACACAAGAGGTTTGGAATAAGAAATCGGTAAACAAAATTCAAATTCCAGTTAAGATCTTTACATTTCTTTTGCATAAATACATTTGAGAAAAGTCCGAAAACATCCCTTCTCCTCCCTAGCTGTAGCCAGGAAAACTGGAAACTATAACCCTGGTTGGCAATGAGTATAGGAGAAAGCCTGCGCTGAATTAAAAACCATACATATTTCCTGGCAGGATATATTCTTGAAATCTAACCAAGGTCTGCTCAGTATAGTTCCACTATAAACCACATTTTGGCTGTGTGGATGTTATGGAATATGAGAAATCACACTGATTTGTATTGTGCCTTCAAATTAAAATGGCTCTGATGATGATGATGACTAAGTCACCTTTGTTGATAATTTATGCTTTTTAAATAATAACTTTAAAAAATTATTCTTATGCTGTTAACACGATGAAAAAATTCTGGGATTCATCTGAAAAATGAATTATTCAAACTCTTCCCAAAAGTGTTGTTGGAATTCATTGGTAACTTTTGAAGATATTGCGTGAGGGAAAATAAACTCTCAAATCAATTTTTTTTTTCTCCTCTGTTAAAATTAATAACTTGTAAAACACTGAGCTATACAATAAAAGATTCAACTCACACCTGGCAATCAGATGTTAGCAGTAAAAATGAAAGCAAACATTTCTTTTCCTTTATTTAAAGTGACTATGCTTTAGCTTTCATTAAATTCTTCTCTCCCTCTCTTTCTTTCTCTCCCCCCCCCCTTCCCCACTCAATATGATTTCATTTTATCAGTTATTTTCCCCAGGACAAAATTGTGGTAACAAAGGAGGAAACAGTCTTACCTCAAAAATGAATTTGTGTTCTCAATGCTGTCTGTTGAAAAAGAAAATCAGAAACAAGATTGAGTCAACTTTAGTATGGTACTAGTCTCGAACATTTCTTACTAGCTCCCAGTAAAAGAATAGTACTTTGGATGACAGGCAAATTTCTTGGTTTTTGTGGGTGAAGACGATTGCAAGTTTTGAATACAGATTTTTGATTCCTTTTGGTTGACAAAAATCTGATGAAAATAAAGGTTTCACAATGTTTTCATTTTAAAATTTTTCTGGTATAGGTTACTTCAAAAAGTTAATTCTGTTGCTAATATTTTAATTTTATTCTCTCACATTTTTTAAGATTAATATCATGTGATTGTTCAGTTTTCTTTATAATGTTGTCATGGCCCAAAATATTTTTCTACAGCACTTTCTAATTTGGCATCAAAGTTATAAAAGTCAACTTAGTATAAAAGTCTCACACCTTGTTGGCTTTTTTTTAAAAAAAAAACAATGACCAGTCTTTTTTTTTTTTTTTTTTTTTTTTTTTTCTTTAAGTGGCATGAAACAGAAAATTGGGTTGGGACTATTTCAGGAAGCAACCATTATGGTGTGCACAAATTACTTTATCAACAGTACAATATCTTCTTTACATGTATTCTGACTGAGCAGCCAGATGAAAGCTGCTTCTTTAATTACTCAATATTTTGCTGAGGAAGTTGTTAGAACTTTGGTATGCTGTCATCTTTTCAGATCTATCTTTTTATTCAAACAACAGATGAGTACAGGTCTGCTTATTGCATCAGTATTATATTACTTATATTAATAAATAAAATTGAATATTCACTTATCCCTACTCAGTTTTGTTGAGGTCACATTCACTTATCAGGGGATTGTAAAAATTCAATTTTACAATCAAATAATCAAGTGTCCTGATGAGTGGATGTAATCACTGCAAAACTCTGAATTGGGATAAAATAAATGAACATCTAAATTTATTTATTACTATTAATGTTCTGTCACTTGATATTGCTAATTACAAAACTGCTTGTCTGAAAAACATCTTCCAGAATTACCTTGGTCAACATATTTTGCGGGGCTTCTTTAAAACAATTGTGTGTGTGTGTATATATATATATATATATATATATATATATATATATATATAGTTTTCAGGCACTTTTCAAAAGTGCTGTGTGCTGGGACCATCTCCCCTCCAGATCAATAATATCAGGAAGTCTCCATGGTGAGATTTGAACCAGGGTCTCATGGTCAGAAAGTGAACATTCTAACCACTCAGCCATGTGCTCAGAGAAAGTGCCTGCAAAACACACCACGGGTTGACCTAAGCCTTGTGAGTGAAATTGGGTAGACGGAACACTTGAGGTCATCAATAGCTGTGCTAGCACAAAGTCACAAGTCATCATGACTGAGGGTTTGAGTGTGCTGGTGTTGTTCACTGTTGATCATTCTAGATAACATGCACTTTCCCAGAAATTCTAACTAAGGTCCATTCTGCATAGTTGCAGTATAAATCACAGGTTGGATCTGTAGGTGTTGAACAAACACAAATGTGCCTGAGCGAGTCTGCAATAGGGATTAGCTAGCCACCCTAGTAGATGGGTATTCTCGAATACAAGTGGTCATCTATTATATATGGATTTCAGTTTTAAGATCCACTATCCTCTCTTCAGTTTTTGTTAGTTGTCATTTGACGAGGTTTCTCCAGAATATGCTGGTGTTGTGTTCCATGACATCGAGTCGTTCACCCAGCCAGTCTGTTCGATGTTCAATCCCCACAGCTGACCATTTTGTTTGAGTTAGGTCACAAGGCTGATGAGGATCAAATTTTCGATAGGAATTATTGAATTAGTCTGGTCCGAACAAAGTGAAGCCACAAGTCATAGGATAAATTGTAATAAAGAATATACTGTTTCTTGTACAGAGCTGATGGTACAATATCTGTTCTTCTGGTAGAAATATATGTTCTACATGCAGAAATATATTTGTCATGAAAAGTTATTCGTCTCTTCCCTTCTTCAAATACTTTGTGACACTTTGTTCATCGCAACTAAGTCTAGACAAGGCTTCTGGAACACAGCGCAAAGTTGGAGGTCTTCTTCAGTGGCAGGAAGTCATGCAAGTTTGGTGAAGCAGTCATCTAGTGTCTGGCAGCTTATCTCTCTGGTTGTTGCTTTGATCTCTTGTTTATATGGACCGTTGTTCAAAACTGGCATGGGGTCTGACATGGTTTGGGATTTTGTTGATTCCCCTAATTTACACACACAGTTCTTTGTTTGACTCTGGGTTTGGACAGATCTCTCCGCTGATGAGCAGTGGTAGCAAAATATTGATCCACCCTCCTTCTTTCTCTTATTGGTGCCTCATACCAATACTATCCAAGGGGTGTAGGCAATTCCTCCACCTTCCTTGGTGTTCTACCTAGGCCTTTCACTTCTATGGTCACCTGACCAATCTCCAGACTGCATAGACAAGCCAGTGTGGTTTAGCTCCAATTATTAATTTTAATCAATGTCCAAAATTTTCATCAAAATGAATCACTCTCACCAGCTATTCCACTGACAGACTCTTGTGGCACCTCAGCCCTTATCTAAAGAAATTTCACTGCTTCAATGATTCACACCTTCCCTTCCCTTTATTTTTTTTGACAAGTGATAAAAATAAACAATTTTCCAACTTTGCTTATGCTTCCAAAAAAACCCTAAATATCAACCGTCAACTGACTTTCTTTACCAGGTTATGGCTAGCAGATAATTCCATAATCTGGATTTTAAAAAACAATCATTTTCGGCTTTTACACCATTTTTCTCCTTTTCTTTGGACAAGTGATAATGAAAGAAAAAACAATTCTTTAACTATGCCTTTGTTTCCAGAACACCTTAATTTTTATTTCAACTGACTTTTTCCTACCAGATTTTGGCCAGCATCTAATCCCTTAACCTGGATTTTAAAAACTATAGTGTCTCCATTTCATAGTCAGTTGTCAACTTCAGCCATATGGTTTTTTGTAGGAAGAAATCAGGTGTTTCTGTTCTTCCCATTTACCTTCATCCAAGGAAGAAAAAACAAAACCTTTGAATATACTAAAATCTGGTCTTGACTCTTGATATGTTTATTGATCTATCTTTCAACCCTTAAAGTGTCACATCTCTCCCTTACCCTTCCTGTCATTTACTTGTAAATGACACACAAATCACCAAAACCACTAACAAAGCTATTTATCATGCATTATTTCTCTTCTATTTTATGAAGTACAAAAGTCTTTTCTTTTTTTTATATCATGCAATGTGTTTAAGAGTCTTTATTTTTCTTCTGTTATGTCATGAAATTCTTTTTTTTTAATTTTTCTTATTCTTTTATTATCATGCAATGTTTAATCATGGGGTTCACACCACCCCTTACAAATTATTAAATTTTTATATCGGAAGTCTTAACCTCCCTTACTCTTTTTTCCAATCTGCACCCCACCTTCTTGTTTTATGGTTTGTCCTTTTTGGTTACCTTTCTTTCCACAATAGGAGGTTTTCTCTTTAACAGGTATCAGCTCTGCTTCCAATTCTTCTGTAGGATTTAACCTTTTTCCTCTTTGTCTTGGTTTGATCTGTTTAGGTAAACAACACTGCATGGTATTCTCTGCTTGAGTTGTTGCATACTTGCCAAAACACTATTAATCAATTTCTTTCTATCCCTTTTTAGCTTCCATACCATTGTTACTATAGCAGCAATAACTGTCAGGGTACCCA